CGGGGGCTAATGCAATAAATACATTGATCTTTTCATTGAGCTGCGGGTGGATACTGAGTGCGGCAAAGGCTTGAGCTGTTCCTTGGCTAAAACCAATATAGCTCAGCTTCTCGGCCTTGGTAATTTCAAGAATATAATTGATAGTGTCTGGAATATCATGCCACGCAAAATCATCAATGCTATGGCGGAAAACAAAGGCTTCTTAGCATGTGAATGTAGGGATTCCGTATTGCACAGACCTAAAGTCCCAAAATTTCGATGAATTGGGGCCATGGTGTATAGACTTTTTGGAATACTTGTTCCCTCTGCGGAAAAGAATCAGATAACTCGGGTGGTTTGTGTAGTTTGTCAATGGAACCTGTTGTTTCCAAACCACACATCGAACCCTTGCTCGACGAGAACAAATGGAAGTGACCGCTCGGCATCAGTCAGGCAGACCCAAATTTCGCTGTTCATGAGAAGCCCATGATGTAGATATACCACCGGATTTCCCGTGCTCGTTCCGGGACTATCCTTCTTCTTGCCCTGCTTGGAAGGCAAACGGTGAAGGCCCAACAGATACCCGTCCTTGGTCAAGACCACATGTTCCTCGTGGATATACCCATATACGTTGCAGAGCTCTCCGAAATCCCTTGCCGCTAAAATCCGATCTGCCTGTTTCTTTTCGGCAGACTTATCTCTAGGGCGGCCCCCAAGATGGAATAAAGCGCGTGATCGTTTGTAAAACCAGTTTATGACGGGCTTTGGGAGGAAGAGAATAATAATCCTTATGAATCCCTCGACAAGGATAAAAAGCGAGCCGAATACGAGAGCAACATATTCGCGGGGGGATAATCTTCCAATTAATGGAACCCCAGCCATCGAGATTTGGTGTAACTGTGAAGAGTTGGCTGTGGAATGTGGGTGAGGTGGTAAAGTCGGAATTGAATGAACGAATGATATGATAGAGCCACAGGCAGCTGATTTTGGGTACTATGACCGCATAAACCTTGTTGTAGGGTTAGGACCTCCTAACACCCAGCACCCATGTTCCCGAAAAGTGGGATCCGTGTTATCAAGCTGTTTCCTATAGGGTTTCTATTACTGTGTGCTTTTCTATGGCTTGGGAACTCTGACGCGACCTTGAGTACTCTGGAAGTAGTGGACGGATATCTTGACGACGCAATCTCAAAGACAATGGTCGGTAGTCCTTTGTCGTCCGTTCGCGGTCCCGACTTCAGCCCCGATCATCAAAAGGCCCAAGATGCATTGGCCTGCTACATCGAAGCCGGGAACTGGGAGTATCCTGCTCCGCCGATGGGCCCGCGACGTTTCACGCAACAGAAAATGATGTTACGATACATACCACCCTCCTCGTGCTTTGGCGATCAATTGAGCTTCGACCCATCTCCGACGGCTCAATTTTGCGCTCTCCTCCGTGGCAAAGAAATTCTCTTCGTTGGACCGGACACGACTTTCTATCTCCACACTCTTTGGCTCAATGCACTGTCAATTCAAGATTCCAGAACACATACGTGCTGGGGGCTGATTTCTGCACTTTTCATCATATTTGCCAGGGTCCTCCGACAGGGCCAGAAACCCGCACTCCAGACGACCGGCGCAAGAGACCTCCACAAAAACTGGATTTGGCGACATCTGGATCAGCCGTCCTCCGATATCTCCTATCCACGACGTTAAATGTCAGGCGGATCCAAGGGACCAGTCCTATACGCTGCCAATCATTGATCCTCAGACAGGGGTGCGGGTTCGAAACACATACTGGCTTCATCGAGCACGGACGCGGACATTATTATAATGAATCGGGGACCAGTTCCTGCTCCTGCCTGGACCTATGAAGGGGATAACCCGCGCGGAAACTGGTCTTTCCTTCAACATATCTCCAACTCTTACCCTCCCTTTGGAAACGGAAGTTTAGCGAAGCGCATTGTTAACGCTGCGCTTCATGCCACCCTTGAAGATTTTCTGCCCGCGGTCATGGAATCGCTCCGCATGATGCGGGTGGACACTTCAATTCGGCGCAAAACGCTAATATGGCATGGCAGCTGGTATCTTGAGCCGCAATGCACAAACCTTCGCGACAGACAACCACTTGTAGATCCCTTGATGCTGCAATCCGCACCACAGACCCATGGACTCTTTATTACAATACACAAGGTCAACCCCATAGAACCTCCCACAAATGCTAATCATTCACTTTCTTTTTTTTTGCAAACCAAGTATATATGCAAAAGCGTATCCTCTCCAAGATCCTTCAGTGGTACAACATTACGTTCCTAAGCTACGCATTTCCCAGAGCCCCGGGCCCACTGATCAAGCTAAACCAATCTCACCGCTCATCAAACTCACACATTTGCAACACAAACCCACTTGCGCCTGCAGGCGGAAATATTACAGAGGGTTTATTGATGGATGGTATGAGTAGGTTACTAACAATAATGTAGTAACCGTACAAGATTCATTTTTTACCTTGGGGTTTTAAATTTACTTTTGTAAAACCACCTCGTTCCAGGGCCTCCTTAGCCACTGTCGATATCCTCTTCCATCGATCGGATCCTAGTTGAACGCCCCCATACCATCTTGATACGACCACAATCATATGATGGCATCCAGAGAGATCCAAGAGGCGTGCCAAACGATCTCCACTACCTCCTTCCCCACCATCGTGTTGACCCATAATGATTTTCCCGTCCTGTGATGAAGTTCGATAGGCATACATGCAATGTGTAGCACGTTTGAGAGCAGTCGAGGAGGTCAAGTAGGCAAGGAAGCAAGAAAGGTCGGAAGCCATTGGAAGGGCTGACGCATGTCCAGGAAAGTTGATCTCCGGTCTCGGATTTTGTCAGAGACATAGACTGGGTGGGGCCATCCGATTGCAGCTGCATCTTTTACTATGGTGTGCGGGCTGGAGTCAGCACCAACGAATCCCCGGCCATTCCCTTTCTGCGGCTTAGAGGCGGGGACCGTTGCCCCACGTGGCGTCGTATACGTTCTGTCACCGTATGGCAGCAGCTGCAGACGGGGAAAAGAACGGAGATAACGCATGTTTGAAATGGAACCGCTACTTTCGATTGGCTGAAAGGCTATTTTCGAGCATACGAAACGGTGAGAGCCATGTGCAATGTATTATTTGTGTCGACGTGTTCCGGGTCAGTTGGGTCAGCCAGTGATATTCCAAATTCAAATGCACGTTCCAGAGGCCATAGTGCTCTACTTTTTGGATTCAGCCCTTTGGCGGCTCGCTGATCCGAGACACCACCTGAGCCTACCATCCTACGCTCATTCTGGCCTAAAAACCCGCTGATCCCCATTCCATGAATACTAATGTCGGTCCTTCGCCTGGATCCGCCGAGGAATGCCATACGAGTGCCATATGACCATGCTGTGGCACGCCGTATAAGTACCGCAGTATGGTATGTGCATTCGGTTTGGCATAGAGATCCGCCTTTTGTTCACCCCCACCCGCCCGAACTACCTGTTATCATCATGCGTTCGTCAGGGAACCAACAGTGTTTACCTTTTGTTGAAATAATGGCTTGTTAACAGGCCTCATCATCCGGGAAGACCCACCGTCAGTAGGCGAATATATTGCGCAGTACATATGCAAACGGTATGAAGCCCTTCATCACCTTGGACGTTGTTTTTACCAATAAACTTAGGATAAATGAGTTTTCTCCTACCCCCGAGAAGCCGTTTGTCCTCGGCCTACCCACTGGCTCCTCTCCGATACCGACATACAAGTGTTTGATCAAACTCGTGAAGGAGGGCAAGCTCTCGTATGTGGCAAAATGTCCAGTTCTACCTGTTGTTTGATCCGCGTCTAGATTTAAGAATGTTGTCACTTTCAACATGGACGAGTACGTAGGTCTACCTCGTGACCATCCGGAATCCTATCAACCTTCATGTTCCGTGAATTCTTCTCGCATGGTACATTCAATTTTCATTCTTCCGCGGCATCACTAATGAAACGCTCATAGTGGATATTCCTCCTTCCCAAGTGAATATCCTTGATGGGAACGCGGACGATCTGATCGAAGAATGCAATGCGTACGAAGCGCGTATCAAAAAGTATGGTGGTATTGAGCTCTTCCTCGGCGGAATCGGTGAAGATGGGCACATTGCCTTCAATGTGACTACCGTCCGCTCTTCTACCCGAACCCTCTCTTATACCATTGTCACAGGAACCTGGTTAGCATTGTTCGCATATTCGATGATCACCCATTAATTGAATGTTAGGATCATCCCTTGCTTCAAGGACCCGCATCAAGACGCTTGCGTATGATACCATCTTGGCCAATGCCCGCTTTTTCAACAATGACATCTCATTGGTTCCACGCATGGCGTTGACGGTCGGCGTTGCAACAGTCCTCGACAGCAGAGAGGTTGTTGTGGTCGTGAGTGGCCTTCGGAAAGCACTTGCACTCAGTAAAGCCATTGGTGGGCTTAGTTTACTCCTGTCGCTTTCCTTCTGACTCACTATGAATGGCACTTTCAGAGGAAGGAGTGAATCATCTGGTGCGTCATCCATACCCATTACATTGTCAGCTTAATTCACACTCTTTTCAAGTGGACCCTTTCCGCGCTGCAGCTTCATCCATGGGCCCTAATCGTAGTTGATGAAGATGCCACCTCAGGTGACTTGACTTGAAACCCATGTTTAGCTTTGGGGCTAATATGATTCGCTCCCAGAGCTACACGTCAAGACCGTAAAATATTTCAAATCATCGAACGTGTGCAAGAGGAGGTGGAGAAGACCCAGGCCGAGCGTAAAGCCAAGGGGCTTGCGGAGCAAATTCAAGTCGGAAGTATGGAATGAAGAATCCATTCTATCGGCCTAGTTTTTTGTGTCTTTATAGATCATTTGCACAACCAACCTACAAATACATGCCTGCCTTCATCATCGCTAGTTCATCGCTATGGAATGTATACTCGTCTAATGTGCATTTTCCTATTCATCCTACGAAGATGGAGTTAAAACAATCTCTCGGTCATCAAAAATGTTTAGGTGCTACCAGGGATCGAACCTGGGTCTCGGGAAGACTGACCGATCAAAATCCCGAGTGATAACCACTACACTATAGCACCATAGTGACATTTGGGAGCATTCTATACGATTACCACTGGCTTCAATATCATCCAATCACCGAATCATGTACGTGCGCTCTTTGGTCTGCGCCTGCAGCAGGGTTTTGGATAGTTACACATGATTTGACTATTATAACATACAGAGTTGTGGATCAATAACTACATTTACCTCCAGGTATCGTTCTCAATGAAGTTCCCCGATGCTGGAGTGTTAATCTGCATATTTGGGTCGGATTCCCAAGTGACCGCGCCGTTGAACTTGCGTATATACTTATACTGTATTGAGGAGCTAGCTGGCACATTGACTGTCACTGTAGAAGTTATGAGCACGGCCCCGCCCCTGAGCAGGTGCGGTCAATACTCACCGCTCCAAATCGGGTATGTCGCCGCGGAAAGTGGGATTGCATTATCGGGGACCAATTCGTTAATGCGTCGACGGAACCAGTCAGGAAAATGTTTTCTGTATCCGTCGATTTAGTAATCCGGATGTCGGTGTTGGGTGGATACGTACCACCAAAGACCGTCGTGGCTTGGACATTGAAAGTGACGGCAACTGTCCCACCACCTCCACCGCCACCACTGCTTCCTCCTCCTGAAGAGCAGGTACTAGGGACTGTCAAGCCACTAGCGCCCCAGCTGGCAGGCACCACCCCTGAGCGCGCGCCATTTGCTGTCAATAAAGCAGCATAGCTCCAAGTTAGATCAACCGCGCTAACTGGAACACCATTGCTTCTGCTGTATTGTTCAGCAAGACCACCACCCGAAGGAGTAAATTTCGCAACAACAGCGACAAAGCTATCCGCATAGTTCTTGATCGCGGTTGTGAGTGTAGAGAAGGTTGCTGTGGTCGAAGCATAGGTCCCTGTAGCAACTCCGGGAGAAAATACCGAGAAGAAGGGCTGGAGGTTGCAGTAATGGTCAAAGATGATTGCTTTTTCCAGACGATTAAGGCATCATAGAGTTGCTCAGCAACCGCCAACGTCGTCAGGTACCAAGGCTAGTGTGAAATTGAGCACAGCAAACATCATGCGGCGCAAGCCGAGGCTTACGTTCCCACCCATATAGCTGTCTTCGGGATAACGGCCGGTTGCAGCACCAACATTATTAGGAATTCCAGCGTTGACGGTGTATATGCTTCGGAATGCGTTGACATATGTGAGCAGGTTGGCGAGGGCGCGGTCGGAGCATGGTTGGAAAGTTGCAGCGTCACAACCCGCGGCAGCATCAAAGGTATGAATGCTTGTAAGGACAGTATTGGCGTCTTTCCCGGATCGACCGCCGCCTGTATTTGCGGTCATGTAGCCAGCCGTGTTCCAGTAGGACTAAGGGTAAGGAAAGCCGTCAGCTGTATCCCAGGGGTAATACACGACCCACCTGTAGGAAGCACAACAAATTGTTTGCCTGAGTAGTATATCCTGAGACTACTGAGGTTTGCCCTATCGCGTTTGCGAGAGCAATTCCCTGACGGAGAGAACGGTGTTGGACAGCCGTCGTAAAAAAGGAAGAGGAGGAAACCTCCTCCCATAAATCGAACCTGATGACATCTTGAGCCTGGAAAGAGGATCCTAGCAAATGACTTACGTAGATTGATTCCATGATGAAGAAACGTAGTCAAGGTCGAGTTTGATTATCGGCCAAAGAGTGCCGGTGACGTATGATGCGTTGTTGTGGGCAAGTAAGTAGTTGGCCCACGTTATAAGTGCATTAGAACGGAGGGCTGGTCCGTCTGTGCTTAAAACATCAGCATTCTATTAAGTTTTTGGCTGATTGGAATCGACCTCTCTGTGGACGGCTTAAAGGGTGGCTGGTCAATTGGTGAACAGGCAACCAGAAATTGGACTAACCCCCAAGCTCCAGTAAATGCAGTTTCATCTATGTTAAATTTTGGCTCCCCAAGCCCTCCAGAACTGACGCTTCCAGAAGGGTTTGAGACCTGTTGAATGATTTTCTGGGCCGCAACGAAATTGTCAATTTGAGGCCTCAGTGTTGTGTCCAACCCAAGGGTGAATCTGGGGCACTCTCGAGTTTAGAGTATGTGTGGGGATCAGTAGAGATGGCATACTGGTCGATGATTGCTTGGAATACGAGTGAGGAGTCTCGCGTCCAGGTAAACAAATAGTTCGGGTTTGTGGTCGACGGCGACGCGATCACCACCCCGGCTCTTGCGCCTTGGGATTTGGATCCAGAAGGGCCAATGTTGGCCAGGAGGTTTGCCTTGGCAATGGGAGACTCAGACGCAAGGTAGGAATCTACCGTGCTGGATTGTGCCCATGCGAGGGATACCCAGAGGAGCGCCGAATAACGGGATAAACGCATTTTCCAACTTGTGTATGAACAGGAGGGGGTGTGTTGGATCAATAGCAACCATTGAGAGTTTTATAGAATATGAGCTTCGGATAATTGAGGATATGAAGACTGGTGTGCCACGAGGATGCCAACGGAAGTCCATATGACAATGGGAGCATACCACTCGCATCGCAATATAGATATAGCAATGGCTTGTCATTGGGGTCACCGCTGCCTAAAGCCACTCTAACATGGGGCATGACTTGAGGCCTCATGGGAGAATTAAGGAAGTTCCATATTGTTACGTCGTTTATTCCGAATGTCGTGCTGGTTTCGCACTCAAGTGCCATTGCATCAGCTGTTGATTACAGGCATATCCCTGCTTCCATTGCCCCGGTTTTCACAAGCATATTGGACGCACTGTAAAAAAAATCAGTTTGACGGACTTATCACCTCTCAGTAAGCAGGACTTTACCAACAAAACAAAAAACAAAGTAGAGTGCCCTGTGTTATTATACGGCAAGGCTTGAATGGAAAAAGTAGTAAAGAACAGTGACCTACCAACCAACGAGGAATTTTGGAATAAATCCGAGATGCGTTATCTCACAATAGTTTCTCCGCGATTTGATATTCCTTACAGGTCTGTAAGGAGGTCTTTTTACCGGGCATTGGGTTATTAGGGAAACATGCTTCTCAGCCAGATGAGTGCTCAGTTCGAGCCTGGGCGGTATTAGTGTTCTCGCTGTGATCGTTGGTATTACTGGTGACGGGCTATTCGGTGAAGCATAATTAGCACCTTCCAGGCCAAATGACCAAAAGCACATGGGCTAGTAACCTATTTGATATTGAACACACAGTTCCCAGCTCAAAGACGCTCAAGGATCCCCGGGTTTGGTGAGAACTTAGAAGAGTCTGGTGTTGGTCACTGGGGCCTGGGGAAGGATCGAAGTTAACCGCGGTGGAAATCGAACGTTGACAAGCAAATAGTATACTTATTTCTGGCGTTTCTGCCAGTTCTAAGAGTTGGAACTTGAATAGAAGTTTTATCAATAGATTACGCCCATGGGAGTGCGATCGTTATTCAAGATGAAGGACCATGGGACTCGAGAGCGATATCATATTGATTGGATTTTCAGACTCGGGCTTTCCCCAGCCCGCACGTGTTGCAGTATGTACCACTAATCACAAGCTTGCACCTACCGCATTTGACGTTGGCGAGAACTCCACAGCAGGATTTTTGATTTCTGATCTTTCGATGTTTGGCATTTGCTAACTAACGTTCGCACAATCCCGGTCCGAGTTCTACTGGTGCATCGATGAGCCATCACGGTGGCCGCCATATGCAAGTGCTCGTCCACACTACACCCCTGTCCACACCCGCATCCCTCTCCCGCACCCACCTTCATCTACAGGCAGCCCGCGACGATGCACATTATACCCATGGGCATGGCAGACAACAGCGATGCCCGCCAGACTACAAATGATCACAATTCACGAACGGCGGCTTGCAAGTACGACCGATACAAATAACTTAACGAAGGCTGAGATGCACGTCGTCGCTCGTCCCGTTGTCTCTCGCCATCCCTTGCCATCAACGGAATTCTCACCTACCCCAGGGTTTATCCATGAGTACTCCCTCGCCCTCCCGCAAACGAGAGAGTATAATGTAGGTCCGCATATACGTGTAACGCCTATCATCCTCCTTTCTTGCAAGAGTGATGGAATAGCTCGTTTCGGGTACTCGGACGGCCCCTCTACGCCCTCGGAATGTCGTTCGCCGCGTCATTTGATGTGTGCAATGATGTTTTGAGGCCATATGCGGGGGATATGATGCGAGAGGCCTGCAATTAATCTGTGCGGTGCTGTACCCATCGCGGATATGGTATGCATCTTTCATACCCGTGGTATACCCATATTCAACCCTATTCACACCAAAGGAATTCCAAGACTTCGGATGGTAGTAGGGTCAAATGCATTTGACGTCTTGGGCTCTCTGCGACCAATGGGGCACGATTATCATACATTAATAGAGGCGCGTTTGCAATCCCCAAGTCACCCCTGAAGCGTTGGATTCATGCGGTACGTGGATTGTCGGTTATCGCGCCCTTCCCATTCCTATTTAGATTGAACTCCGCTACGGAAATCTTACGCTTCGTACTATCGTACAACCCATGCAAGTAGCTACTGTATCTCGACATTCTGGGCCTGACAGCGGATGAGCATATGCGCCATAGCTCGTTTGTAACACCCATAAAAAGGTGGCCTGTACATCTTTTCAATCCATTGTTCTGATCATCCAAGTTTCACCCCATAAGATTCCTCGCCTCTCGTCCCACCAGCTGGAAAGGTGGGGGTGATGGGAAGTTCCAGCAGTGACACTGGAGATGGCCCCGTCGGTGTGGGACCAGCAATGACACTATCAATAATGTATTGTCCCTATACTTATGTAGGAACTGACACTGATAAGCGCAGCATGTTAAATGATATGGAAACGAATATAGTTCATGTGGCGATGGGGCAACACACTTTCGAACGGGATACAGGATATGCATGCATAATCTATGCTAACTCTGCCTGGGACCTGTTTCCTACTCTGGGAAGCGGTATGCACATTTCTACGACCAGTGCGCCAACGGAGAGAAGCCAGTCACCACGTGTGCAGGATTGCAATGACGAAAATCTGCCATCAGCTTCTGCCAAGTGGAGGAACAGTG